CGGACTCCCCCCCAAAAAGTTTGAGTCGCAGCTGCTGGGTTGCAAGCGGAGTTGCGCGCCGGGAGCTACTTAGGGCAGAGAAGTCATGGCTTCTCCGTCCAAAGGCAATGACCTGTTTTCGTCCGATGAGGAGGGCCCGGCGATGGTGGCCGGGCCGGGCCCGGGGCCTGGGGGCGCCGAGGTGAGCGCGGAGGAGCGCCGCGTCAAGGTCTCCAGCTTGCCCTTCAGCGTGGAGGCTCTCATGTCCGACAAAAAGCCGCCCAAGGAGGCATCCCCGCTACCGGCCGAGAGCACCGCGGCCGGGGCCACCCTGCGGCCACTGCTGCTGCCGGGACACGGAGCTCGGGAAGCGCACAGCCCCGGGCCGCTGGTCAAACCCTTCGAGACCGCCTCGGTCAAGTCGGAAAATTCTGAAGACGGAGCGACGTGGATGCAGGAGCCGGGCAGATACTCGCCGCCGCCAAGTGAGTGCGCGCCAGGGCGGGGACCCGGGTAGGCGGGTGAGTGCGCTGTCTGTCGGAGGGAGCTGGGGCGGCGGGTCCGGCCGAGCACAGAGACCCCTCTACGTGGGCGCGTGCGCCCGGGGAGGCAAGCCTAGCAGGTCTTGCCCCGCAGACCCGCGGAGTTCAGCGCTCCGTCCGCATTAGGATAGCCTCTGGATAATGTCCACATGTCCGTGCGGTGCGTGGCCGGGTCCCCTCGTGGTGCAAAGCGTTCAAACCAAGCGGACTCGCTGGCCTCCCACGGAGTTCACCGGTCGCTGGACGGTCGGTTTCAGTCGCCCTCCGTCCTGGGCTCCAGCCACTTGCTTTGGTTGCGCTGTCCACCGGGGTCTCTGGGGAGTGAGGAGGTCCCACCCCGACTGAGCACCTGTGCCTGACCCGAGGCGGCTGTCCTTTCTCCTTGCCAAACTCACATCCCTGTCAGGTGCGCCCCTGTTTCAAAGATGAGCTAAGGAGTCCAGCCAGCTGTTGAGAAATCATCTTTTGTGGGACCCGCGGACATCCAGGCCAGATCCCAGGAAGTGTTAGCGGCAGAGACTTGCAGAAAGGAAAGGTCCCCCATCATCCCGTGGCCAGCACGTCGCTAGGAGGTTCTGCGTTTCGCCCAGAGCGGGTGGGCCCGGCAGGGCGCAGGCTAATCATTACCGGCGTTCCACCGGGGTGCGAGATCCAGAGTGGCGCGCCCATTCCCATCACCACAGAACCCCAAGTGAGGCGTTAGCCAGGCACCTGTGGCTTTTTTTTCAGACATGGACACTGAAGATTTTAAGAGGATGTCACTTAAGATGTCCCAGGTCACCAACAACCAGTTGGGCCTGGGGATGGGATGTTCAGTCTCTGCTTCTCTGTAGGGTGTCCTGGCCACCACCCTTGATCTCTCTCCCAGGTAGTGACGACACCTGCACCCCACTTCTTGGCAAGGGAGGCTGCTCTGATTCGCCTCTTTTGAAGCACCTGTTTTGGGCCCCGGGTCCTTCCATAGTTTGGAGAAGCCATTCCCTACAGTCCTATTTACTTCTGTTTCTTAGCCTTTAAATTCTCTGTCTCCTCACTTCTCCCTCCTCTCCCCCACTCCCTGTCCTATCTTCAAGAGAAGTGAGAAAGAGCAGGGCCTGTGGACAGACTCTAAAGTGAGGAGAGAACCGCCCAGCACTTTTCCACCTTCCAGCCGGCAAGTGGAGGAACACAGTACTTTGTGAACAAAACAAGGCCTTATACCCGGTGTCTCCACCCTGTTAGAAGTTCTGAAAGACCCAAAAGACACCGAGATTAAGGACTCGGAGAATTTAAACTCAAGTTTGCACAGTGCTTTACAGCACTTTCCACCATCTCTGATCTCAGTGGGGCAGCCGCCTCTTAACAGATCAGGACGTTTCAGTGGGGTTCAGAGAATCAGCAGTCTGGGCCTAGGGGGAAAAAAGCTTGGGAACATTCAGTGATCCCGTACGAAGTGAGCGACAGGGTTCTGGGCACAGCATTGAACACTTAGAAGCGCACTGTGCGGATCGGTTTCAGTTACCTATTCTGTGGACAGCGAAATAGAGGCTCCGATGGTCAGGCCGTTCCTGTGGTAGATGGGATGGAGCCGGGATATTCCAAGCCTGGGGCTATGCCCGTCCCACAGCAAGGGTTCAGGCCTTCATGGAGTGGTGCCGAGACTTCCGAAATCTCAGCATCCTTAAACCCTGGGCTCTGGAGGACGATTTCCCACTAGCCCTCAAATCGTCCTGTTGTGTACCCAACCTCCCTGCTCCCCCGGGCAAACTGGGCCCTGGTTATGACCTTTCCATAGCAGAACCAGGGGTCTTAGAAAGGGTTCATTTTAAAACATGAAGAGTTGTTGCTTTGGGCTTGGAAGTGGCAGTGGGAGCCCTGTGGTCAGAGCGGTGGGCTGAGGGAGTGCCAAGTGACAGAGCCTGGGGCAGGACTAGCTACCCGCCCAGGCCTGGTTTTGTTATTCGGAGGAAGTAGGATAAATGCTGTTTTGCCTTGTATAATCGCATCCTTCCTCTGGCTGGTTTAAAATGGGGTGGGAGTGGGGAGCAGGGCTGGTGGAGAGCCTCTGCTTTTTTGGCTTTGGTACATGTGTGCGAACCCCATCGTCACCTGGAGTTCAAAATTCAGATGCCACTCCCAGAGCAGCTGAAGTTACCCTGACCAGGCACGTAGGTGCGTCAGATCTCCCCTGTAGAGGGGGAGCCAGTGTGCACAGTAGAAGCTTGGTGTCAGAGCTGAGACGTCTGGACCCTCCTTCCCGCCAGGCCTGGGTTGAGTGGGACAGTCGCAGTCTCTACAGAGTACCCCTCAGTGTAGCTTGTTAGTTCAGTAGGCGCTCTGGCTTAGTTAGGAATTAGCACATGTAAAGCTAGACGTTTCTGGGCCCTTTCTTACCCCTGTCCCCCAGGTTTCTCTTCTTCCACTAACTGCGGAGCCCACCACGTCTTCCTTTTTCAGTCAGTAAAGTGATAGTTACTAAAGTGACACTGGGACAAATCCATCTTTTGTTGGAAATGGAGGCTGGGTTGGGACTTGTGCTGTGTCACCCTCAAGTATGAAGAGTAAACTCTTTCTTGGGCCACCAAAGTAACTAAACAAGAAATGTGACATTCTCTCCTGAATACACTGGAGTTACTACTGTGGCTACATTTGGAAAATTAGCATAGCTCATAAAAGCCAAATGCAGAAAATTAATTGTTTAGCCTCTATGGCCACAGCTCTGTGCTCCACCCCCACCCCGAGGAAAACAAGCCCAAAGTTAGTGGAGGCTGGGCAACCACAGGGAAGCCCGTCCTCTGACACGACAGCTATGACTGAATCCATTTTCAGTACGGAGCCTGGCTGCTGCCGGCCTACCTTCGCCTCCAAAGAAGGATTCCCTAAACCATGGAGGAGATGACTAAGATGTCATCGTGGGCTCTCAGTTTGCAGGCAGTGTGATGCCCCCGACATGTACATTTATGGGCGAGTGGAGTTTCCCCTCCGTCTTAGCACAGTTTGTGTTACAGAAGCTCCCGGCCAAGAACTTACCCCACATCCAGATCTGTGAAAATGGCATTCAGGTTTTATAATCTGGAGACTGGGTGGAATGACACGAGTGGTTGTTTATTGCACACGGCAAGGGGCTGCCCCCCGGTTGCGAAGGTGCTGTTAATTTACCACAGACCTTATCTGCACAATGGTCCTTCGTAAATACACAGATAGAATCCAACCTTTTTCTGCATGAGAGAGGAAGCTGGTTTCTAAAACCTTTCGTTTTCCTTCTCTTGTGTAATTATCTCAGCATCCTAGGGAGATGAGGCTAAGCATGAACTGAGAGCGCTTCGTTGTAAAGACCAGGGAAGTGGAACTCGAAGGTGGAGCTGTATTTCTCAAACACTGGGCTGAGCTGACTTGAGAGTCTGTTCACATCCATTCCCTTATACATCCATTACCTCTAGAGGGTTTGTTTTCCCTGTAGAAAAAGTTTCATTACACTGGTAAATTCCCAAACTTTCCTTTTGAAAGATGAGGCAAAGCACATGGAAGGGACCTCAAAAAAAATTTTTATGGGAAAGCGTAATTAAAGTGCAAGTTAATGTTGATGCAAAAACAGTTGAAAAATGTGGATAATATTTTTATGAGATGCACTCTCCCTGAATTTTTTGAAGACCACCCCGTGCGTGTGCATGTACGTGTGCGTGTGTATGTGTGTCGTAAGCAAAATGCTTTCCACATAGGAGGGGAGGCCTGCAGGGGCAAACCTGGAGAGAACAGGACTTTAGCTAACTCACCCCCCCTCTGCTCTCCAGGACACCTGAGCCCTACCACCTGCACCTTGAGGAAGCACAAGACCAATCGGAAGCCTCGCACTCCCTTTACCACGTCCCAGCTCCTGGCGCTGGAGCGCAAGTTCCGCCAGAAACAGTACCTCTCGATCGCAGAGCGTGCGGAGTTCTCCAGCTCTCTGAACCTCACAGAGACCCAGGTCAAAATCTGGTTCCAGAACCGAAGGGCCAAGGCAAAAAGACTGCAGGAGGCAGAACTGGAAAAGCTGAAAATGGCTGCAAAACCTTTGCTGCCCTCTGGCTTCAGTCTCCCTTTCCCCATCAACTCGCCCCTGCAAGCAGCATCCCTGTACGGAGCCTCCTACCCTTTCCATAGACCTGTGCTTCCCATTCCGCCAGTCGGACTCTATGCCACTCCAGTTGGATATGGCATGTACCACCTCTCCTAAGGAAGACACACCAACAGACTCCAGGCTGGGGGGGTTTGTCTCAAGGGCTCCCCTCCTCTCCAAGAAGGCAGTCCCAACCTAGCACTCCTGCTCTGCAGACTTGCATATAGCACTGGGGTGGCCTGGCCCACAGGGCCAGGTGACATAGGTCAGTGTTTCTTAGGCAGGAGGCGCCGAGCTCTGTTTTCTTGATGTAATCTTCCAGATGCCCCCTTTCACAAATATTGGCTCTGACGGTTTTTCTATATAAATACCTATATGTAATAAAATATAATACATTTTATACAACAGATATAAAACTTCAAATTATTTTGAAAGGCAAAATTGATATACCTTTTGTATACATTTTCCTGCATATCACCTTTTGAAAAGTGATGGCTTAAATCCATTTGTTGTATTTTTCTAAAGGGAGAGACAATTTGCAAAATATGCTGAAATTTGTCAATCTCAATGGAATAATTGATTTGGCTATGGAAAACCAATTTTAGAATTAGACATAATTAATGTGCATAGAAAGTAGATAGGAGAGAGTCTTCAAAAGTGAAGGGGCACATTTTTTGCATTTTATGGGCATTTAATAAAAACCTCATTAGATACAATTGTATCTGGCCCTGTTCTCCCTCCCCCCCCCCACCATTTAAAGTTTTGCCTTTTTATTTTTATTTTTTGTAAGATCAATGACAGGGATAAGAAGGATTTTGAGATTGTTGTGGGGTGAGGTGGAAAATGGGAATACTTCCTAATTCCTCTCAAAGCTAGTTAACTCCATTTCAGATCATTGAAGAGTAAAAAGTCAAAGTATGTCAGGAGAAATTGATGGCTTCTCCGAAATACTAGGTATGTCAGTCCTCACATACTCAAGGTGATTTGGGTGAGGGGAGGAAGAACAGTAATTCTGCTTAAAAAGATGGATATCTTGTACCCATTACCTATATGCTAAATGTTCTTGAACAATTAATAGATCCAGAAAGGAAAAAAAAACATGCTTTTTCTGTGTGTGTACATATTGTATGTGCTAAACTTATTAGAAGAAAAAAGTATATACTTTTTAACATGTTGGGGGCGAGGGTGAAGCCATGTTTTGACTTGCTAGAAAATGGTGTTGTCAGACAGCCCATTTCGCTCCCTCCCTGCCATGTCCTCTTCCTGCCAGCTCGCTCCTCCCCCCAGTATACTTATCCCTTTGAAAGGGTGCCTTGTACAATTTTATATATTTTATTGAAGAGTTATTTCTTATCTCTTATTCTGAATTAAATTAAATGTTTTATTGCAGTAAAGTTTGTCCAACCTCACACTTCTTTTAAGAGCCACTGTCTGTTCTCTGCTGAGCTTAGCTCAGAAATGCCACCCAGATGAGTGGGGTGAGGGAAGTGGCTGGTATTTTTTATGTTATTTTCATGTGGATCAATCAAGAGCCAGATTCAGTATGGGGGGTGGGGAAGGGAGTCAGCAGAAAATCCTGAAACACTGAAATGTTTGTCAGCTTGCGCTACTCTGTAAAAGAGGTGGAATTTGCAGTTCTCAAACTACTGTGAAGAGTGGGCCTAAAAAAAGCGGGGAGATGGGGGTCAAAAGAATCTCAATAGTTTGTAGATGATCAAGGAAGAACCTTGAACTTGAAATCCCCCAGCTACCAAGACAACAATGAACTTGAAGCCCTGGAAAGGGGAGCTGTAGCTCTTTGCAAACGGAAATGGTAACCAGAGGCTTTCAGTGGGCTGGGGAGGACTGCTGCCCTTAGGACAGAGTGTCCTGTAACACCCATTTCTCCTATCCCCTTCCAAGGAGAGGACTCCAGAACAGTTTTCCATTTGAAGGGGCAAGGTAGTTCATTTATGTTGGCTTTGCTCTCCAGCCTCCTTATTCTAGGGGAAACTGGATCTGGGTTGGCGGGCAGGCTTGGGTTTAGGGGCACCACCATTGGTGGTGCTGGTGGGGAGGCTGAGAAAGTTCGCACTCAGCTCTGTGTTGCACCAGTAAGTCAGAAGTGCCTACTGATGGTACCTTTCCAAGTTCCGTTTTCGGATGGGATGGGAAGCTCTGGTGACCCTGGGAGCAGAGACAGAAGGAAAGCAGGACTTTTTGCCACGGCATCAGGCTCCCCGAAAGGGCTGCTCTTGTTGCAGCATTTCCATCCGGCCTTCCTCATCGGAAGTGTGCGCCAGAAGCTCCATTTTTCTCTCAGCCCGGGCTCCCCGAGGTCTGGCCACGCGTCTCAGAGGTCTCACCTCTCCAGTGCCAAGCGTGACTCAACCAAAGGGTCTGCTTCAAGTCGGAGGGAGATTTCTTCTGCTGGAGCTGAGCCCTCACGTCTCAGACCTATCCAAATGCGCACCTCTGCCATCCCACTGGGCTTCTTCGCCCTCAGTACCTCATCCTTGCCCAGAATCTAGCCATATCTTTTAAGTGATGCCTTTTACAAAGGCTAAAGCCCTGGTTTCTCAGCCGTCAGCCGTCAAGCTGGGTCCCTAATTAGCTTGTCCACTGAGCTTCCTTTCCGGAGAGCTGAGGTTGGAGTCCTGCAGCCCAGGGCGATCTCAGTCCAGGAGACTGGAAGAAGGGGATCTCGATCCAGTCAGTATGTGGTTCGGAGAATCAAAGCTGAGTCTTGCTGGAAGGGTCGCCTGGAATCCATGTTGGTCACCACCCGCACCATGCCTATCGCCAAGGATCCAGAGGAAAAAGGGACTCGGAGAGGAGAAAGTTGTGCCGGCTCCACACGCACTCCTAAAACTACTAGGCTGATGGAGTGACTTAGCTGACGATTGGGCCGGATGTCTGCAGGGCCTGGCTTGCACCTTGCTCAGGGCTCCTGCCAAGCCCCTGGTTGGGTTCCACTGCAGGCCCTGGTCAGGCTTGGTTGGTCACTCCAGGTGCTTCAGAGGCTAGACTGAGTCTACGGCAGCTGAAGGACCCTACTAGCCAAGGTCCCCTGCAAATGCACTTGGCGAATTAAAGCCTTAGATGCCAGCCAGCCAGCGGACTTTGGGCATCCTGGCATTGTCTGCCAGAGACCAGATCCACCCGTCTTTCCATACTTGCAACACTTTTGTTCAAAACTATCCCAGAAAGACAGCTCTGCTTTTAGGAAACGGGAAGAAAATTGGAGAATCACATGTATGGAGTCCCCCTGTTAAGTGCAAAAGTAGGTAGTTTCTTGCACGTGTTCTCAGCTGTCGGGCACCCATCGGGAACTATTATTGATATTTATAGTTAGGGAAACTGAGGCTCAGAGGGGTGGCTCACTAAGGACTTAGCTGTTAGGCCCAGGCAGAGGAACGCAGGCCCATGGTGAGCAGAGAGGAGGAGGTCTGCATCAGGGTTGGCAAAGGCAGGCCCCGCAGCACCCTGCTTAGAAAGGGGCATGGGGATTGAACCCTGAGAACCCAGGTCTGCAGTTTCCCTCTGGCTCCTCTTTGCAGTGAACAGCTTCAGGCCAAGGGTCCCACTTCTCCATCACAGTGGACCTGGGCCTCGCCTGAGCCCCTCCCCCCAGCCCAGCGGGGGCAGGGCCACAGGAGGTAGGCAGCGAAGGCCTGGCCTGGCTGCAGCAGGCGCTGGTGAAACGTCTGCCTGACCCGACTGAAAAGAGGATCCCTGCCTTTGAGCAGAACCTTGTCTGACCGAATGAAAACTCCCACGGTCATTCTTTACTATAAAAGCCGCTCATTTGCCACGGGTTGGAGAGGCCATTCCCCCACCCCCACTCCTTCTCCACTGTTGGGTTTGAAATAAGCATAAACCTCATTTATAAAAGAGCCCACGTCACACACACACCCTCCCCGAAATCACAGGGCCTGTTGGTGAAATGGATGGTGCCTGCTTGCCCCTTCTGTGTTAAAGGGGGAGAAAAACACAAAACACAGCCGTGTTGGTGACGCTGCCGGCCTCTTCAACTAAATAAAGTGGTCACAGCAAGGAGGAAAAACTCCTGCCAGCTTCTGAACCCCTGTATCCTCTCTCCCACCCCCAGCCACCTCCTCTGTCCCAAGGATGAAATAAAAAGCAGTAAAATTACTTTCTAGAATACCCCTCTTCGAAGTAGAACAGAGTAGTAGGCTCCGGGAATCCTGAATCCTGCCCTGATAAGGTTCATAATAATCAAATCCAAACTCCATCCACCTCCTTTGACTCTTTGCAACCTCCTCCGGACCCCTCCACGTTTGTTGATGAAAACACTTTGATGTCCTGAGTCCTCCAAACAATTATTATAATTTTAAACAACCTGGTATTTTCCATTACTAACGGCTCGGGCTTTGAAGTTACACCTCATAATTTCCTAAATTAAATAAATCATTTTAAGTTTGCACTGGGAGGCTTTTAATAGCAGAGAAAGGAATATCATTATCTTATTGAGACCCAATTGTGGTGGCTCCAGTTTGGCTGTAGCTAGGGGCAAAGTAGGCTCTCTCTAACAGACATACTTTATTAACCTCCCATAACTCTTGAAAGAACATTTTTATATTTTCTTTGATTTCCCCCCTCCCTCTCTTGTTTTAAAGCTGTCCCAACCTTTAATTAGTGCCTAATATGAAAAGCATTATTTTTTTAATGCTATGTAATTTACCAGCGGCAACAGGCCAACTTAACAATTGTTTATTAGACTTGGTTTTTCACACAGGGCAAAGAATGCCGCTCCAAACCCAACTTTTCATGGGTGGTTGCACTAATTAATACAGTGTCTGAGACTCCTAGGGGGTTTTTAATATTGAAGCCTATGGGGGCGGAAGGGGTTTTAGAAGTCCAGCTCCTGCGGACGGTCTCTCTGATTTCTTTCATGCTGTTTTGATCCTGTCTGTGGAGTCAGCACAGGCAGAAACTGTTCCCTGGCTCCCGAGACTTTGGGATCCCGAGGCAACGGCCTGGGATACCCCAGGACCTAAGTGTATGATTTATGGCTTCTGGGGCTCAGACTTGGGGTACAGAGAGCCTTAGGGGCAGGAGAGCCCCATCCGGCCTGGAGGGGGAAGGAGCTGGCTTGACGCTTGGGTTGGGAAGAAGTCTGGCTCTTGGGGGCAAATGCCAGGTCTCCCAGGCACCAGGCAGAGCTTGGCTCTGGGCACAGAATTTGCTGAGACCAGGCAAGCACTGCGGCGGGGATAAAGCTGGAGGGCAGAGGTTCTGAGCCAGCTTCTTTCCCCTCTTCGCTTTCCTCTACTTCTTTCTTCCCCATTTTCCGCCTCCCTTTGTCTCTCACTTCCCTTTCTTGTCTTTTGTTTCTC